CGAAGATTGTTTGCCTTATTTTGAAAAAATGGAGTCGGCAGATTTTTCAGTTGATATTGACGAAGATTATCATGGATATGATGGACCCGTGCATGTAAATGTGGCGGAAGATACTCCTATTTTGGTAAGACATTTGATCAACCCAAACATTTAAAGAAACATAAATACCAAGTTTTATTATTGCTGTTCCAGACAGAAGAACTAATAAACGCTTTTATCGAGCTAGGAAAAACTGAAGGAGATTATAATGGCGCAGATCAGTTTGTTGTAAGTAGGGTCCAGGCATTGATTGACAATAAGACGCGTTCAGGCACTGCCCACTCCTACATCCGGCCCATATTAAACCGAACAAATCTGGTGGTCAGTTTGGAGTCGCTGGCCACTAAAATTCTTATTTCTGACAAAGTTGCCACTGGCATTGAGTTTTGGAAGAATGGCACCAAATATAGCGCGACCGCTCGAAAGGAAGTGATTCTATCTGCTGGAGTATTCAATTCTCCTCAATTACTGATGCTTTCGGGCATTGGACCAAAGGAGGAACTTGATAAATATAATATCGACACCATAGTTGACTTGCCAGTGGGCAAAAATTTAATAGATCATGTATATTATAAAGGATTATTTTACAGGCAAGTGACACAACAATAATATACGTAAGATGTTGGGAAATAGCATTTTTCGCTTTAGCTTTCTCAGCTGTTCGGACGGCTGATAAAATATCGCCATTTGTATTGCATTGTATTTCAGTGTACAATTTACAAATTTAATTAAAACTACCCAGTTTTTCAAGTTTAACTGGCTATTTTAACTAGCTGGTGGCAGGTTTAACCAGTTTAACTGACTATAAAATGTTCCTTTATTTTTCGTTCCACTTTAAATATCCCATATATTTTTTAAGCTTTTCTTCTTTACTGCTTAACATAAAATTGAGAACCTTAAAAAGCCAAAACTTGACTGGTCTATAAAAATAATACAGTGAGAGTTGAAATCTTAATTATGAATGATTCCAGGTCCAACTATACGTTTTATAACAATACCATGTTAGAAAATTTGGAATTATGGGATCACAAAAAACGGCCACTTACCATGGCTGAATCATTTCAAGCAATGACATTCTACAATGTTAACGGAAACACAAGTGAGGCGGCGGATATCGAAGTATTTTTTTCGGAGCCTCCGAGTAATGGCCCCACCCACGGAGAAATGTAAGTTTTTATGGAAATAGAAAAAGCATGTTAAATATCAAACATCACAACGTTTAAGGTACACAAATGCATCATA